ATTTAAGTATTGACACCGTTCCGTCTGATATCCAGTGCTTGAGTGCGCCTGGTTGGGTCGTGCCACAGGCAAAATTCCTGGCACTACGCAAAGAGATGGCAATTCTCGTCCCAGTATGAGTTCACATCTGATGGTGGAGCACTTGGAAGAGACTCTAGAAGACGATTCTTGTAAGTTCGTCTGACATCCGGGTCTTCCAGTCTTTCAGTTGCCATGCGATTTGTCCGCACCTTACGCGGCCCCCGGAAACGTAGGGCGAAGCGACTCCGGACGAGCGCGTGGTCAGAGTCCACAAATGTGTTCCAAAACGACCGGTAGTCAGTTATGGACCCACCCCATCGGTAATTGATGGTAATGAAGTCTATTTGAGTTTGTGGCTGGACTGCCGCTGGAGGACACCAAGTGGCCAGACGATTTCGGCTATTTCGGAAATTCGTACTGCATAAAAACAGCTTGCGATCAGCACAGAGCTGAAGCAATCGTTCCCCATTATCCGTACGTACCGAATCCAGTCCATGTCGACCTCCTAATTGAATCTCAGATGCATTAAGCTTGCCCACTTACGCATTCATATCTCCGGCAACCACCACAATATCTGAGTTTTTAGCTTGCCGCAGCATGGCATTCAGGGCGTCGTATTCAGAAGAATATCCAGATTTTACACGTGTATCACGTGGTCTGACATGGCTGAAATGTTGCATGACTACTTTATCTTCAGTTGGCATTTCATATGACCCTTGAGGCTTTTGTTAACCGTAGTCATCCAGTCTCGTTTACGGCCACGAATTTGAGTACAGAGGTATTGTAATCGGGATATAACTTGCGATATTTGGTAGTCTAACGAATGTCACAGATGGCGGATTGTAAAATCTTTAACTGCATCCAAGTGTCCAAGACTACGGTGAACTCCTCATCCCCTCCCATCCCCCTAAAGCTGTCGGGCACCTTTTTCCATGTGATATTTCGCAACATATGCAGGATCGCCGGTTATGGGTGTGCAGAACTTACAGAATTCTGTAGACGTAAACCACGGGCCATTGTCGGAAACCAGTCGAAAGTGACAAGACAACCTAACTGATAGTTAGGAGGATCACATTTAGCGATTTAGAATATTCATCCATAATGGCTAGGAAAAACTGCCCACAAGTTGGTCCAAGGAAATCAGTGCACATTCGGATCCACGGTGTATATTAGCTATGGATAGGCCCCCTTCTTTGCGGCCTTTGCAGCACGAGCACTGAGATATGCAACAGATAGCGGTGTACCCTAGTTCAAAAGCCAGGTGATGCTCGAGACATGATCGATAACCAATCTCAAACAATCTTCAAACGTAATGTTCGACTTCGGAGTGTGATGGCTTCACGCTTTTCCACTGTTTTTGAAATCACCATTGTGAACACTAATACTGCTGATTGTTTGCTTTGCAGTTCTTTTCATTCCAAAAGAGCGTGTTCTGCCACCCGTGGCCCCTGGCCTGCTAACGACCTTAACAATTGTATATGATTGTTCAGCTGTAATATTCTATAGATTCCTATCTGATACACCACCCACAGTAAGCACCAGGGTTGAAATACTACCAAATTCCACAGGCATAGACGGGAGCAGCCAAGATGCAGAGGATGGATTCGAACCACAGACCTCCCGGTCAGTAAGTTTACCCCGTAACACTGGGGTGTCTCGAACAAGTGACAGTGATTGAATCGGAGTCCAGTAAACGGTAACAAGGACCCTTAAGTCAATGTATTAAGCAAGTGTAACTCAGTCAATGATTGAGCAGATTAATACAATACATTGATCGAACGGAGAAACAACTGCTCAATGTGCGCAACCCATTGTTAGGATTCGTGCAAGGCGTGAATGGCATCTACAATCATAGCAAAACCTTGATAGCCAAATAAATTGGGGTCTACGAAAAGGTACGGGCAGAACAAAATTAAAAACATTGTTGCGCTGACACAGCAAAGCTCGCTGATAACCTGGAGTGCTTACACGAAAAAATACGGTTGTCCACTTTGGTATATTTTTCAAGCGTCCTAAACAACTACTGGACATAAAGTGATGGAAAAAGAAATTTCTGGCGTACCTCCGAATGCTGATCCTTTCCAAACCCGACCAGTTACGAGTTGAAAGGGTCTAGTGGAAATTTCCGCACCGGAAGGAGCAACACCGATAATAGTCGATACACCCCAGCCCTTGTGGCAGGCTTCCAGTGCTTGACGCATAACATTCACATTACCTACACATTCGAAAGTGTAGTCACAGCCACCGTCGGTCATGTCACTGATTACCTAGAAGGAAGAATGGCAAGCCGTATAGTCGTTTAATCTTTGTTGCGAATCACCTTACTTAGCTCCAAGAATAATCTAAACCGGAAACTTCAAATACGCGCTGAACACCACAATTCAGGTACGAGTGGTCGACCGGCACTGATTAGATGGAGCGCAAAGCCTTCCTAGAATATTTCCTGTCATACAGTGACGGTGGACGGATCGTCAGTTGCTTTCGCAGATAAAAAGCCCATTAGGTGTGTGGAGTGTTTTCACTCCAGAAAAAGACTACTTGTAAGTTATAAGTAGTGAGAAGACTCCGAATTTCACGACGGTGAGTAGAAAAACGGTCTGAAATGCGGACTCATATTTATAAGACGTTTCAGTCAAAATGGTCACTTAACAGTGAAAAAAATGATGCTTCTGTATATTGCTCTGTGTTCCGTACGCAGAGATGAGTAATGCGAGTAATCATTACTGCAAATAACTCCCTGTTCCCTTTTGCAAGGTACTGCCTCCAGGCAATCAGCCACACAAATCTCAGCTTCGTTGTCAAATCGTCCATTCAGAATGTAATAAGCCAGGGAATGGAGACTGCGCCAAAATTATAGCTCTATCAAAGATTGCAAGCTTTTAATCCACACAGGCAGACATGCGTATATTGTTCCAACAATTTATACCACATGGCTGACAAACAGAAGGCAGGAAACAGATCACCAACACACATCACTGTCTTTCAGGACCACCACCGGAGCTCATCTGTGCACATCAACCGGAATAAGATTCTGATTCCTTACGCGAGCCATATTAAGGACCACACAATCAAATGTGTTCTTTACAGATGGTGGAAATGTTCATTTTTGTTGCTCCGCTTCCCTGCGCTTCATCCTTCAAAACACACTGACAAATCAGTGTGTATCAGTTAGTATCAATCGACATTTGTACACAATTCCCCCGGCGTGCACAGTGGGAAACCACGTCTAATCCTTTCTCCATGAACTTCCTGCAACTAGTGAGTTTCCTTAAAATCTGCAATGCAGCATAAGCTGAAAATTTATAAAAACGGTTTTAAAGCGGTTAGTATTCAAGTGATGTCTCTGCGCTGCAGAGATTTCTGTGTGAACACCGACACCTCTGCAGCTGTTGTGTTACTTAGTCCAAGTGTTTTCAGATCCGGTCCAGATAAAACCATCAAGTGAATTTTCTCCTTGTCGATTGAGAAGTGAGCAGTCAGCAGTGGCATAAAGGGCTATTATTGATTACCAAACAAGATATCGTGTGGTTGCAGACAGTTTAGTTGGATTATGGTAGAGCAGAACGGCGTTAATATACCGAGACAAGTACAGATAGCCTCCTCCATAACCAGTGTTCTGGGTAGTGATCTTCACATGTGTTGCTCTTCAACGCATTCCCCAGCAAACTGGTTAACATCCGAATTACTGTCTCGAGAGTTTGGATGAACCCTGTTCTCCAATATTTTGAGTTCACCGCTGCTTCGGAATGATAATACATCACAGGACTACCATTGTATGGATTCTAAGAGTTTCGTTTTCCGAAAATCTTCCACCTCTACGAGTACTACCTGGACCCCAAGTTTACTTCTCATGAATCGTGCCCTCAAATAAACAAGCTATTTCAGGAAACCAAGTCCCGGTGGAATGGTTTTCGTCCAAATCTGCTCATAAGCCTAGGGCGACCTAATATCAAGACGATAAGTAACGCAAATTAAAAAAGAGCGTGACTAAATTCATTATATGCCAATAATGCATCGGAACGCAATTCGAGAACTGTGGAATGGATGCCATTCATCATCATCATCAT